TTATAGTTCAGGAATATTCGTTTGTTGAGGATATTTCGTGGTCAACAGTGTGACGATCCACAAATAACTACAGTCAGTGTAGAAGAGGGTACTATCAGATAATGGAGAAGTCTCGACGCAAGCAAGGTCGGTCGTGGCTTGTAAATTGTTTTCACTTGCGGATAACGATCTAAAATCTTAATGAGCAGTCTAAACTCATGACTCTTGGTCTGAGGAAGGATTTAAAGTAATTTATATGTCGTGTCCGAGGGTTTCTTCCTCCACCGGGTAAACTGATTCGACTTCTTATTTTAAACTGTTCAACTTTAAACATAAATTACAAATTAAGACGTTAGATTCTAAACCCTTAATAATCTGTTCAGGGATGAATATATATATATAGAAAGCGAGGACGCGTGCGCTACGTGCTCTAAATCAGCTTCAGGCCTCCCAGGAGCGCACCCGGCAGTAAAGGCAGCAGTCATTTGCCTGAGTCTGCCTCTACAGCTACGGGTGCCCCCTTGTGGAGGTGCTCGGAACTGTCTCGTTATTTGTGCAGCATTCAACCCGGTCGGTTCGTAAGAAAACGTCATTTTAAATTTCAATCATAATAACCTCCAGGTCTTATATGCCAAGTTATTGCGACCGTGTCATGAATAATTGTTAAACCCGGTTGCCAATTCAACTTTTTAGGTCTTCCTAAATGCTTTATGTTGCGTAGCCCGAAAAAGTCAAAGTAGAACAGGGGTGGGATTTCTCACTTTAAAAAACACGGTATAGTTTTATTTCTGCTCTCCTCTGGTATTAACTGTATTCAGAAGACGAGTCTAGTTACAGGTTAGTCAACCTCCAGAACAGTCTGGAAGTTTGCGCTCTTAGTTGAATAGTGAATATTCAATTCTGGACTTCGGGAATTTAATTATATTTATTCACAGAACTGAGGAGAAAATAGGAAGGTACAGTATTGCACCGCAAAACAAGATCTAGATTAAGGAGAGAAGGAAATTCACAGCTTCAAAAACGGAATTCGTTAAACGATGCTTTTAGATACTTCAAATTCAACTTACTTAATAGTTCATGAAGCACAGTTCCGCAGGATTTTGCCCTCCCATAGCACGGTGTCTGAATTAGCCCCATTTTTAACATGATAACACCTTCCATAGCACAAGGACGTACAGTAATTCTACGCGTTTTTGACTTTTTTAACTACACGTCAGATAGCTATTAACTTTGTAAGCGGTTGCCCACCCTGCATCGAGAGGAACAATCCCTATTCTGGTGTTTGTGAGAGCCAGGGTCTCAATCTAAAGCTAACTGATTTCAGTTGTGTGTTTCGAGTCTACCCAGCATGTAAATTTGCATTTAGCTCTGCAGAGGACAAATAGGCTAATTGGTATAAACTCAGTACCCGTTTCTGAGTTTCACAACTGCCTTAATTCAAGTGAATTGTCTGTAGTCGCAAGTTTTGGATTTTAGTTTGCCTACAAAATACAACAGTTAAAGCTCCAAGATGTTTAAAAGCTGGGTACGAACAGTTCACATTAATCTGATTATCAGGTCAGTGAGGGGTTTGATTGCGTAACTGAGGACCCGCAGGTGTGAGAGTCACCAGGACCAGGACTGGGAACCACTCTGAAACGGTAGCTAGTCAGCCAGAGCTCTTTCCTCGGTAAATCAAGGAGGATGAGGAGAGATTGCGTCAAGTTGTATGTAGAAGGTGGTGGAAGACGTATCCTTGAAGTGGGGGGTATTTCTGACACTCGGGGCTGACTGGAGAACCAAGAAGAGGTCTAAACAAACAAGTAAATCAATGAAGTCATCAATTAGCCCTGAAGGGTCCTCTGTAATTAAAACCAGCAGTGTTCCTCCAGGAACGAGGCTGAGAACTGCTGCTGTAGGTTCTCTAAATTGCATTTATAAAATACCTTTCACTTTGTCAGACAGATAATCGATATTCGTGAAATAAAGCATATATGACCTAATTTCCGAAAAGCACCGTTATTCTACTGTAGGGTTATCTATGTTACACCTGAAAACTGCATCATGTACCCTGATGATCATTCCGGTTTCCCGGAGACTCGGCAGGTTTTAAGGGGGACGCAAACATTTCGATGTCAAGACTTACAAACCGTGGTAATGAAGAGCAATGAGTGCAGTAATTGAATAAATTAAGTTAACAGGAGCTCCTCAAAAGCCGGAGCAAAGAGATCAGCCCGTCTGTCTGCCGCAAAAAAAGCGCTCGTTTCCATCAAGAGCTTTACAAGCGCTCCCTCTAGTGTTACAATGCAAGAACGGGTTGAAATAATGTCCATCCTTCCATTTTCAAATATGCGTTGAGTTTCAATAACAGGGTTGCGGAGCCAAAAAACCGCGGAGACGCTGGCAGGTTGCTCCGTCGCCAGTCCGTCGCAGGGAGCACCCATACGCTTACAGGGGTTTATCTGTAGAAACACCAGTTGATCTTTACCACTTCTTTGTGCAGTAGGATGATCCTGGAGCACTAGAGAAAACTCACAAGACCATAGGGAGTCTATTCACACCAACTGGATGGGGTTTAGAACAGAGCAGTTAGGCATGCCACCCAGCCACTGCTGGAGAAATCTAATTGATATATTTCATCCCTCCATCCATTTTCAAACCATTTCTTCCAATTCGGGGTCATGGAGGAGCCTGAGATCCTGGCAGACAGTGGGTGCAAGACAGGATACACCCTGGAAGGGACACCAGTCCATAATCACATGACACAAATACAGAAATGCACACACTCACACCAGGGCCAGATTTCCCAGAAGCCAAAAACCTATTAATATGTCTTTGGACTGCAGGGAGGAAAATGGGGCACCCAGAGGAAACAAACAAGAACATGTGGAGAACATACAAACTCCATGCAGGTAGCACCCTAAGTACAGAATTGAACCCAGGGCCCCAGGATTGAGAGATAGCAAGGCTAACCACTGCACCATCCATATTTAATACACACAAACACAATTCATAAACCACTTCAAGTCAAAGCACAGTGATGCAAATATATTTTCAAGGCAACTTTACTTGTACATCAGGGCAGTGAGGCTGAAATATTTCAGCATCTGTGGGACTCTTATCTAATAATTGGAGCTCAGCTTTCCATCACAGTCCACCCACATCAAGATGAATAAGTCTCTTGGCAGAGCTGCTTGGCAAACTGGATTCTCCGATGGTTTTTAGTCCAGGGATGTGTACAGAAAAAAAAACATTCACAATGGAATAGCCATCCAAAGAGGGTAAATATCTTCAGCAATATACTAACCTGGGGATTAGTCCATTGCAAATGAAAGTTGATTGTGTCGGAAAGCTCGAATGTCTGTGGCTTCAGGCTCTTTCCTTTTCCCAAAAACATGTTCAGTGAGATCTGATTTCTGTTATTGCTTGACAGTGTACAGTAGAAAAATGAGCCATATACTGCTGTTTTCTCACAACTGGCAAGTTGCTTCCTGCTGTTAATACTACATTTACTGCATGCTTTTAAGAGGTTTGGTGGATTCTGATCCCTTTGTGAAGCATTTTGTAAATAAAACGTCTCGGTGTAACCCCACCTCACAAGGCACTGATAAGGATTTTTACAAAACCAGCCGAGTCATCTGACTTCAGGTCATTATTTGGATAGAGAATTTGAAGTATGTGAAAAGTGTATCTTAACTGCCAAATGCCTGTTTTTGCTTCACCTCTTAAATGTTTAATCAGTGTTGTTAACCTCAACATTTCACCAGGTTCTAATGTCAAATATCAGTCTGCAAGGTTGGTATGCCCCTGCCTGTTTCAACAGGGTCCAGTCACTCACAGGAATGTTGGGATGTCCTTATGTAAAGTGATTTAGATACAGTGCCTTGCGAAAGTATTCGGCCCCCTTGAACTTTTCAACCTTTTGCCACATTTCAGGCTTCAAACATAAAGATATACATTTTTTATTTTATGTGAAGAATCACCAACAAGTGGGACACAATTGTGAAGTGGAACGAAATCTATTGGATTTTTGAAACTTTTTTAACTAATAAAAAAATGAAAAGTGGGGCGTGCAAAATTATTCGGCCCCTTTACTTTCTGTGCAGCAAACTCACTCCAGAAGTTCAGCGAGGATCTCTGAATGATCCAATGTTGTCCTAAATGACTGATGGTGATATATTGAATCCACCTGTGTGTAATCAAGTCTCTGTATAAATGCACCTGCTCTGTGATAGTCTCAAGGTTCTGTTGAAAGCGCAGAGAGCATCATGAAGACCAAGGAACACACCAGGCAGGTCCGTAATACTGTTGTGGAGAAGTTTAAAGCCGGATTTGGATACAAAAAGATTTCCCAAGCTTCAAACATCCCAAGGAGCACTGTGCAAGCGATCATCTTGAAATGGAAGGAGTATCAGACCACTGCAAATCTACCAAGACCTGGCCGTCCCTCTAAACTTTCAGCTCAGACAAGGAGAAGACTGATCAGAGATGCAGCCAAGAGGCCCATGATCACTCTGGATGAACTGCAGAGAACTACAGCTGAGGTGGGAGAGTCTGTCCATAGGACAACAATCAGTCTTACACTGCACAAATCTGGCCTTTATGGAAGAGTGGCAAGAAGAAAGCCATTTCTCAAAGATATCCATAAAAAGTCTCGTCTAAAGTTTGCCACAAGCCACCTGGGATACACCCCACACACAGCCACATCAGTGTGGATCTGGAGAAATTACTGTAAGCATTGCTGTGCCAATCTAGCATCAGTTTGTCATGATGTTTTAAGCACAATTACATTGGGACAGATAAAATATGAACAGTGTTACCAAAACATCTGATTGGGTAGATGGTTCTTTAAAATCACTACAGAATTCCAGTGGATGCCAAATCTCAAAAATTGTTTGTTTCCTTATAGAAATGGGTAGGTTTGTTCACAAAAAATGTTCATGTAAAAATGACTAATTAGACCACAGACAAAAGCTATCTCAATGCGTTTTGGGGCTGTAACTATTCTAGAGGGGCTTCTTCAAGCATGTTCAAAACATGGCAAAGGCATAGTGAACTGAAAGCTTCACCCTTTAATTAGCATATTTATGTGCCAGTTTGACTTAAGGACCATACTTATTTACTTTTACAATAATCCATTAATCATAACACTTCACTAATTTTCATAAAATGGGTCAGACTGTAAACAACACACACAGATGCAGGTACAAGACAATGGGGGGAAAAAACATACTGTGAAGTGGAAGGTGAGTCATTTCTATATTCAAGCCACAACCGTTCAGGGGCTCAGAGATTATCTTGATTTCCATTAAGCAAACAGAGCATATAACACCTCCTCTGGCTGGGGCAGCTTTTCCTCACAGAGCCTAACCAGAGCAAATACTCATCCTCATTTACACAACTGTGTGAAGTACCTCAGTCAAGGTACAACAGCTTGGATCTGAACCCACAACCTCACAGTCATGTGTCCAGAAACATACTCGCTATGCTACGCTACCTCCTGAAAGTTGCCCTTTTCTTTTTAAACTGTGTTGCCTCATTTGTTTTAAAGTACTATCACAAAAACACACACCTTCACCCTCTGTTGCATATGGAATATTCTCTACTAATGGGTACAACAGTTCTTTTGATGCTGACGTTCATGTAATTAATTTATGGCTTAGAAAAGAAAAATAAAGAGAATAATAATAATATGGGGTGTTTTCTTTCTCAGGAAATATTTTATCCATGCTTTGCTGTCAAGAAGAACACTTTGTATTGCAGATGTCCCCTGCCTTGAACACGTAAAACACATTAACTAGTGGGAACATGACCAGGGCTCCAACCATCGATCCTGTCTGTACTGCTACTCCACACCACACGAGGGCGCTGTGGCTCTCATCTCGTAGTATAACTCCCACCATCACTTTGACATAGGATAACGTCCCAGCGAAGAGTACCCAGGAGAGGATCTAGGAATGACAGATACAAAAATGTTTTGATTTTTCAGCGCACACCAACAATTTGCTTTCCTCTGTGATATTTTCCAGGGGAGAGTTCACCTATTGCTTTGATTGGCAATATTTGTGGGGTCGTCCATTGGGAGTTAGCAACACACATTTCCTGGTCACATAGGTTGTTGGCTTCATATACGCAGTGTAGAATTTAGACAGTGCTCCATGTTGTGGGATTTGGCAGCACAAAGCCTCTAGTTTTGTCTAGTATCTTAGTGCTGATAATATCTTGGCCTGATGATACTGTGTAAGTGGTGCTGGTGATATTCGTATTATTGGTCATAGTAGTGCTATTGTTGAATGGACCGTGTAGTCAGTATTTATTGTGTGGTGGTTTTATGCTGGGAAAATATGTGGAGAACAGTGTAGCTGTCTCAGCCTGTAGGCTAGGTGCTTACAGATCAGAAAAGAAAGCTATGTCTTCTTGTGTTTTGTTTACATTTTTTTTGTCATCAAACCTTTCCATAATACTAGGAAATCTATCCCTTTGAACTCAATTACATCTTGGAGTCGGAGTGTGTTCATGCCTGAAGGTTCCCAGTGACTATCCTGGGGAAAGTACCTTCTAAAGATCCACAGTCTAATTCCTTCATTACGGAGGCCACATGAAATGTGTAGCAGAAAACATTCAGGATACCATAACAGTTTGCTTACAATTACAGCAACTCCCACAGTGGTGCCCTGCAGCAATGGGCAGGGACTCAGGGCTGCCATGGCCATGTTGTAGGCCCCAAAACCTGTCCCAGCTAGACAGAGGACCCCCAGGAGCACCAGAGACCTGCCACACACAGAAGGAGACAGGGCACATCTCAGAGAAACCAGTCAGATTCCCAGTGTATAGCGAACAGAACATGTTTTCTGAGCAATAGATTCTTGTATACAGTACTGATAAGGCACAGTACTGTTTTATGTTGTTTTATCGTATTTTAAATTCCCATCTTTCATATCAAATGTGCTCTAAATAAGGTCAAATCGTTGAATTGTGCAGCATCGGTATTCTGCCTTCGGTTTCTGTAATGTTGTTTACCCTGCTGGCCGTTTGTGTGTAGTTCATCCTAGATCGAAACCATAACTCTATGGTATCGTTACACTTTGACCCCGGAAATAAGAGGAAATGTTATTGCTGAAGCACGTTGTCAGTAGTCCGCTGTGATCATATCAATCCGCTACCATCTACTGCCAGCGAAAGCGAATTTACTATTAATTCCAAAGTTCCATGCTTGGAGTTTGGCTGGCTGTCAAATTGGGGTAGGAAACACATCACAAGGGATTACAACAAGTATTTATCTTATGTAACAAATCTGAGCCAAAAATGCCTACTGTACATCAGATGTTTTCCTGCACCTCTCCAAGAGCTGGTAACCACAAAACTGAGGGTACACATACATTAGATCACTCACCTTCGGGGCAGAAACATAGCAATGACGCACGCAACAGGGTTGGCCATAGATCCCAGTGTTGCAGACAGGTGATAAGCCATGTTCCCATAGGGCATGCAGGAGTAAGTCTGAACTGAGGGCAACAGGCCATTGGTCAGTGCATTCACCCAGAGGACAAGGAAGTAAATGAATGCAAACTCATATACAGAGTGGCTTGCTTTTATCATCGCACTCCTGGTCCCAGGCGAGATCTCATTGTTTTCGCCTGGGTCTCCAAGATTCACAGGCCTGGGATCTGCTTCTCCGGTGGCTTCCATTACTCTGTTGTCCAGGCCAGACGAGATGGTTACTACAGAATCTGTCACTAAGTTCTCGGTGGAGAGCTCAAAGGTCCTGGAGACTCTGTTGAGGAAGACAAAAGCAGACAGGCAGACCACCATCATGGCTGTCAAGAAGAAGAAGAACACTTCTGTGGAGAAGGTGGGGGGGAGGTACTCAGGCTGGAGAGTGTGAAGTACATCCAAGGTGCCTTCCTCGGTAATGTTGTCCTGCTGCTTGGTGACGTTAACACACTTGGCTATGCCTACACCCTGGCCCAGAGCCACCAACCCAGGCACAAAACCGCTCAGGCCTTCCCCGATGAAGTATGTCGTCACGTACTTGGCCGGCAGCTGCATCATAAAAGGCAGGAAGGTGACAGAGGAGGTGCAGTCCACCAAGGACAGGAAGAAGGTGATGATGAGGAAGGCGGTGCTGTGCAGCCTCCCCATGACCACTGAGGTCTCCTTCCAGAACAAGGCCAGCAGGAAACACGAGACGGTCCCGACAGACACAATGATGTAGATGATGGCGATTTCTTTCAGCCGGCCCGGAGAGAACTTGTAAATCAGAGAGACCAGCAGAGGCCCCACGTTGGCCAACTGGATGATGACAGTCAGGTAGGACGGTAGGTACCAGCCTTCCGGAAGCTCGTTCACGATCAGGGGCAGCTCCACCCACAGGCCATTGATGGCCACCCAGGACCCTAGCCCGAAGGCACAGGCTAGCAAGTGGACAAGCACCGCCATGGAGGACAAGGAAGACGTGGAGATCCCAGGAAGTCCTAGCTGCTTTTCATTTCTGCGGTCTTAGCTCTGCTGCCAATTCAACCTCGCCACCTGAAAAAGTCAATCCTATAAGTAATCGTTTTATACACAGGCAGTGAACATAATTATAATTGCTCACACTTAAATAGCATTTTTCTGGACACTCCACCCAAAGCCCTTTACAGGTAATGGGGACTCCCCTCCACCATCACCAATGTGCAGCCCCACCTGTATGATGCGACAGCAGCCATAGTGCACCAGTATGCTCACCACACACCAGCTATTAGTTGGGAGGAGAACAGATAAAGAAGCCAATTCACAGATGGGGATTTTAGGAGGCCATGATTGGTAAGGGCCAATGGGACATTTGGCCAGAACGCCGGGGTAATACCCCTACTCTTTTCGAGAAACACCCTGAGATTTTTAATGACCGCAGAGAGTCAGCATCTCAGTTTTACGACGCATCCGAAGGACAGTGCCTTTTTACAGTATAGTGTCCCCGTCACTATATTTCGGCATTAGGACACACACAGACTGCAGGGTGAGCTCCCCTTACTGGCCCCACGAACACCTCTTCCAGCAGCAACTTTAGTTTTTCCCAGGAGGTCTCCCATCCAGGTACAGGCCAGGCTCACAACTGTTGAGCTTCAGTGGGGTGCCAGTTGTGAGTTGTGGGGTGATATGGCTGCTGGCCATACAGAACAGAAGGGTAAAAGCAAAGTGAAAATAAGTCAGGCATGAGCAAAACATTTTTGTTTCAGGTTAAAACTCACCATTAAGCAAGCACACAGTTCATGCTTTGGTTTGTAATGCTACATTCTATGTAGTGGTGTTCTCCGGTAACTGCAGAGGCTAATTTGCAGACTTGAACCAATGGAATGGAATGAAATCTGTTCCCTGAGCTTATAACGGATAGTCTCTTCTAATCTCAGAACTCAGCAAGTAGGTTACTGGGTATACAGTACCTGTATTTGCTTACTTTGTAGGGTGTTGTAACACTGACTCTGACATCATTATTTCATGAGACCTAAGGATGGTTGTGCAAAACTGGACAAAGTCTTATCTGCGTGGCAGTTAATGGAGTGTACAAGATAACTACCAGGCCATTTTATGTTCATAATTTGTAACTCATTAAGCGAGATAAGGATATTCTTGACCTGTTTTCGCATGACCGATTGCTTTTTGAAACCCTGCACATTAAAGAACAACACAGTCAGGTTCTAAAAGTTAGTCAGCTCCTGTCGGTCCTCTGACATCTTGTTCCTGGCTCTTTCCTTCCAGAATCTTGCCCAGAGGAGGTTTTGTTGAAGCTGCATACCTTGAATGAAGGCGTCTTCCTGGCTCCATCAGGATACTTGAGGCAGGACAGGATTTTAAAGTTGCTCTTGAACTGAAATGAACACTTTGATTAAACCCTAAACATCCTCTAAATATTACACATTGTGACTGAATGCTGAGAATTTATGGCTACCTTGACATTGCAATATTTTTCTTAAAATTCTAAATTGATAAATGCCTTTTTTTGGTGCACAACTTTTATAATGTTACAATATATCTTCAGTGGATGTCCTGTCAAGGTGGTAGTTCTGTCTTGCACCTTGTTCACCTGGAACGGGATCCAAGTGAACTTCAGCTTGAGGCGTGCTCAAATCGCAGCATCTCAAACCAAGATCAAATCAAACACTCTCTGATCACCACTTGGACAGGCCGGGACAGTACAAAGGGCGCTTGTGAAAATCTTGTCCTGACCACAAACTATGCTGCCAGATGTTCATGCTGCAAAATATGTGGAAATAGGGTTGTGATCACCTAAAATGTGTACTATGTAGTCATATAATAATGGAATTCCCTGAATAGTTTTGTGTTACTTAAAGGTGGTCTTGTGACTTCAGTGACACTCAAATGCATTCTCACAAATAGTTTAAAAGTGGCATTCACCCCTTTTTATCAGAGTAAGGCCTACCATTCACTTCAAACTCACTTGTTTATTATCGTCAAAACTTGTCAGGTGCTCACCTTGATGCACAGGGGGTGAATAATTCTTAAAGGGAAAGTAGAATACCTGTAACAGGACCTCATCGTTTACAAAATACAAAAGAAAACCTTCAAGCTTCAAACGAGCAATCACTTTTATTCCACTTTAATCATCTTTCCAGCTACGGTTTCTTTTTCTGCTAGGAATTTGCACTTGTTCTTATTTGCAGTGAAAGATTGTACTAAAGCAGATAAACTAACGCTAACAAAAAAGCTTTCCTATATTATCAGTAGGAGCTATTAAAATGACCTAGTTATTAATAGCCACGACTTCTTAAGGTGGAGCTAGTTTGATTCTTCCCACAGACTTAGTATCTTCACCTGGTTCTTTACTGTTGTCTGAGTTGTATTAACAAAGAAAAACAGCACACAAAAAGTGCAGTACACAGATATACCTGGAATATAAGGACTGAAAACAGGACCCTTTTAATTATTGCTGTAAAGTAACAGAATTCAGTTATCTCCATAAGAAACACCATCAGCCAATCTTCTCCACCCTCCACAAAAGAGACATTATACAGTAGAAAATGCATATTAAGTAATGCACTGCATTGTGTCTTCATAAAGATAGCCCATAAAACGCTATACACATGGGAAATCTGTATACTCACTGATGTCTGTGGGTCCTGGAACAGGCTGAATAGTGTGTAGACCTTTGTTTTCCTTTCCCCCCCGTTTGCAGAGCTTACATTTCTTCAAGAGACTCCCTGACTTTGTGAGAGCTTTCTTGTGGGCAGCCCCTCCCTCTTTGCCTCCAATGCTACTGTAAAGCACAGTGATAGGCCAGTTCATCTTTCAGTATCCACAAAGGAGCTTCCCAATTGGCCGTACCATCAGAAAGTGGGGAGGGTCTTCGAGCCCCTCTCCTCCTGACTAAAGCGCTGTAGAGGAGGACTAATGTCATGGACTGGATCTGTCTAAGGAGGCCCACCGGTCTTTCAGTTACACTGAGAATTCACCAGCACCCTTGGTGATGGTATGATGGCATAGTTACAAAACGTCTGCTGGCAAACAGATAGTTTTTGAGGTCTTGTTTCTTTCCAGGTCAGATGCGTTTATGAATAATCTCTTTGTTCATTGAAACATTCAGCATGGGTTTATATTTAACAAGAACCCTACAGAGGAGCTGTAAATGAATCTAAAAAGAACAGTATGTTCATTAGTGGCTTTCACATTTACCTTTCACCTGTTTAATTCAGAGAGCTACAGGGCTGTCAGGAAGGAGAGGTAGATGAGATGATGAAGGAGACTGAACAATATGCAGGGCATTCAAGAAACACAATGAGGGCTTGTTTCAACAGCAACAATGAAACAGTTTGCTGTTGTGCGTAGGTACAGTAGTGCAAAGTTACAGTAATCACTAGAGAGATGCAGACATTACCTAAAGCACAAACATGAGTTACAAGCACTAACTATACTACAGGTAAGAATGAATACTGTAAGTATACTCTAAAACTATTTTCAAAATACTTGAGTCTGATTTAATTTAGTTTACCTCATTGCTTTTCAATTTCAGTTGTTTAATACTGCATCTTTTTAAAAAGACATAACACTTTTAGCAAGTGTCTGCAGAGTCCCTATACTAATGCATAATGCAGTGAAAATGGCTTTTTCAGTTGGGGACTGCTGTGTGTCCCAAGGGATAGGAAATTCTGAGCCAAAAAACATTTAGAGTGGACTCGGCTGACTGTGCAATTTTGTTTTTCGGAGCAGGAAGCAAAACCATTGAGCAATGGCTTCAGAGCGCACACAATGACTAACAGTACCTCATTCCTCTCATGTGAAAGGAAACACTACAGCTATGCGTGAAGTCAGCTTTCCACTGAAGGGGAAAGCACTTTTCACATTTTCTTCACATTAAATATATGTCAAGAAAATGTGAAAAGTGCACATACTGTCAAGGTTGAGACCCTTGTTTTGACAAATTCTAGAGTCATTTGGAATCAATATATCAATCTCCCACATTCTCTCTTGTGCTGCTCTCCAAAAAGAAAAACCAGGAAGAAAACAAGCCACTAAATAATTAACGAAGATCTCGCAGCCAAAAGGTTTACGTAATAAACCAAAATAAGCTGAGTGTTTTTACCAAATTGCATCACCTACTAAAAACCCTTGTAAAGCACTGAAATGCTGCTTATACTTTAGTTATAAGAGTTTCATGTTAAGAAAATAACTGCTTCTTATTATTAGTTTGAATAGATGTTAAAAACGTCTAGAAATTCCCAAGCTGCAACAAATGACCCATAATGTAGTTTAAGCCTTTAGAATCAATCTCACCAAAATCACAGGAGGAGCTTTCTAAAAAATACAGCCATTCAGAGGTCAAACAACTTATCTAACTCAAAAGCCTACTAGACTAGGATGTTTTTTTTTCCTCACTCACCCAGATACGGTCAGAAACGTCACTTGCTGTGAAGAATATATGCGTCTTCAAGAGCCTAGATCTTCCTAAACCAACTGTCTCGTAGCTGGTCGGGACTCTGATCTTAACAACAAAACGACCCTTTGTCGATGCCAGAGGCAGTCAGCAGAGGGCAACAGTTGTCATTAAATAGCATCTACTAGAGCATATACAAATGATCACCGTGTCAAGAGTTATTACATTAGTTTATCATGTGATCATGACATAACTGGCCTTCAAGGGTCTTGCATCCTGTGATTCTAAAACTCTTCTGGAAATAATTCCTGCAGGAAAACTGCTTCCAGGAAACAAGCAAAATCTCTGACATTCTGGACTCTGCGCTAATGTAATCAGGAAAGACAACTCGGATCAGCGCTGGACTGGTCACCCCGTAGAGACTGTCACTACCATTCATCACGACACAAACAGAAAGATGTCGGTCTTGTTAAAATGAGCAGCCTACACAAGGAATAAAAAAAAAACATTTAACACAAAATGGAGCAGAGACAGAAAACTGTGTGAGCTTGACCTTCTGCATCATGCAGGTCCCGAAGAACATTATCTCAAGCAAAGCAGATTTTTACAACAGAAACTCTTGAAAGCAACTATCTGGGGAAAAGGGGGGACACCAGTGGCCTATACACATTTCTTGCAACTGTCTGCGTTTCCCTAAATAGCAATATCCTACCCACTTCAATAAAAAATGTCTGTTGTCTAGATATCACAAAACCCTTTCACAGTAAGGAAGCCAGCAAACTATATTATATAACAATATTACCTTTCCTAGAAATTTCCAAACAAGATAAACCGGCTGGTACTTCCAACAGTTCATCTGAAACAAAAATATCTGTCACCTAATAGCTACTTCACATGCTCAGGGGGTCACCTACTTTATATAAAGCACTCTGAAATAAAAAAAAAACTTAATAAATGCAAGAAATTATTACTAGGCAGGCCCCCATAACCCAAGCTGCAAGGCATAAGAACTATTTTCTGAAGTAACAACCAGGGTCCAAAGTTACCCTAAACCAAAAGAAATAGCCAAGACATTTCAAGGTGAACTGCACAGACAATGAATCTAGTTGAGACCATGCCAAAATATTTGGATATTGGCTATGCAGTCAAGAGCAATGTGTCGTAACTTTAGCGTTTTACATTAACAAGGAACAAGATCAGCTACAGGTATGGCCGTCCAATCAAACCCTCTTGCGTGAGAGACAGTAATTTGGCAGCAAACCCAGCCTTAGCAAAGGAGAAGAGGTTTGCACTCCAAACCAACCCAACTGTAACTCAACCATACTGTTCAGAGGACTCGGTGCTCTTCAGTCATGCTTTCACAGTCGGAAGTACTGAGGCTGAGACATCTCACCAGAATTAAAATTCAGCCTAGAGCACTCACGTCAACAGAAGTGCTTTTTGAAGTTCAAACTAGACTGAAACGTGTGCACTGCAGGTCAATGAAATTTGATTCTCTTACAGACAGGATGATGTGACACAGGATTCCAGGGCCAAGAACAACACTGGCATCTTCTGTGCCCAGAGGAAAATGCACACTAGCCTCTGCTGTGTCACACCGAGCTGATGTAGCGCTCTCGTGTGAACTGTCACTATCGAAGGGAGTGTGTTCCCTGCGGTCTCGTTTTATGTGAACACCACGCCTCTCCTGCCCCACTGTCCACTATATTAACGATAAAGATCAGCTTGCTTTATAAACACCTTAATAATGACAGAAAACCCCCTCATTCACAATGTACAGATGACACACAATAATGAGAATTAAAAAAAGAATAAAATTTTACTGGTTCTGGGGGAAGGGAGGGGGGGAGTTGGGATGCACAATTTAGAATTTAGTTTTTATTCTTCTAATTTAAGCAGGCAAAGACATCCAATTTCTGAGGTTTAAATATACACCAGTAAGAAAAAAAACATTTTTCTACGACTGCAGTCACGTTCCCTTGAATTATGGACTCAGTTGAATTATCCAAGAGCCTGTGAAAGAGACTCCTCTCTTTACAAGTCTTTGCAAGCGAGGCCCAAGTCCAGATATAAATAGCATTTTCAAATTACTTGGTGCGCAAAATACCGTAACCCCCACCTGACCCAGCTGTACCTCCGTTGCCTTCACTGGCAGTAAACCAGCGTGACAGGAACAGATTGTGGCATTCTGAGGACAAATACAGCAGACACGCGATATGACACACAGTAACAAGATTTATGTTATTTTACAACCTGCATTTATAACAAATAATAATTATAATAAACATAGAATTAAAAAAAAAAAGATTAGTAAGATGTACAGTATTTGAAGGGGCTGTGCTGTGGAGTCTGATTGTTGATGGCAGGCATGTGTCCCTCTTTCCAGCGAGAGCTCTGGGGAGGAGAGGGGTGTCCTTCAGAGTCAGAGAGAGGGGTAGGCGTCGCGGCCAGTTGCCAGGGGGGAGCAGGGAGGCAGGGGAGGGGGAGCGGGCCGGCGGAGCGGGAAACGCCAGGAAGCCGGCGATCAGTTGCTGTAGACCTGGCCCTCGGGCGGCTGGGGCAGCTTCATGTTCTCCTTGCACATCATGAGCCTCCGCAGCTCCTGCAGGACCACTCGGATGCTGTAGGAGTTCTGCCACTTGGCCAAGGCAGACACGGCCCGTGTGTCCACCTGAGGGATGAGCAGAGCACCATGAGGACGCCTGAGACGCGCTCTGGCCAGGCCGGCAAAAAGAGCAGGCACGAACAAGAGCAGGCCGTTCTGCCTATCGAACCCATTTGGTGCTTAGCAGATGCAGTGTGTGTAAAGAGTACTCACCCCCCTTAGAACTGCACTAACAAAACTGTGGGACCTCTCAAAGACTGGGGCATTTATTTTGCAATCAGTTGAAACACATTCATTGTACACGTGGACTCCAACGAAATAATGATCTGACTTAATTGTGCCAGGGTTTATTTAAAGGGGAACTGCAATGCTATTTTTATCTTTCGGATTTAGGAAGAATCAGCATTTCAAACCACACAAAAATGAGTGCATTTCAAACCACATTTAGTGGTACACTGACACTAAAATGTACACAGTAATGTGCAAAACTACCAATTTACATCTCCAAATAAATGCAATTTCCTAATATGCGCAGTGCAATTCAGAATGAGGCAACAAAACGTCCGGTGAGGAGAAGCAGCCCTATTACACTGAAAGCAAGAGGCTTGTGAATATCTCTTGGCTAAACAGTTAGAAAAATCCATCTGAGGTTTGGTTTTCTAAATGTGCTGCTAACAAGTGAAGCAAAATATTAAATTGAGTCATTTCCAATTTTTGTTTCTTGATCTAGTGAAAACCTTTGTTCTCCAGGTCTACTGTGATTATCAGTGTTCTGGATGGTGACAGGCCATGTTGGAAAGCAAAAATACATACAGGTGTATTCCTGCAAATACACAAAGCAGGGAAAGCAACTCAATAGAGGATGGATCATTTTTCTTTCCTTGTATCTAGAGCTGGGCGATAATTCGATAATGATCATTATCGTGATATAATTTTCCTCGATATAATTTTAACAAAAGTTCGATAAATGTTCGATATATATGTTTATGCTTTGCGCGTGATATGCGCATGCACACAAAATACTGCGTGAGTGCGCGTGCACGTTGCAGACCGGGCAGCTAACAGATTTGTTTAATGTTTCTGCTGTTTGGCAAGTGTTTGTTGTGTTCTTAAAATAAAGAGTTGTTTAATTTACCAATTAACTGTCTGGTTTCTTCAAATTTCACTCAGGAGAAAAAATCTGCCTTTAAACTTGAATGAAATAATGATTTGACATTTACCGGGATAATTATCGGTATCGACTGATATGAAAATTTTTATCGTGATAATGTTTTTGGCCATATCGCCCAGCCCTACTTGTATCTAGAGAAAAAATCCCTGCTTCCCTTTGCTTCATGATTTGTACTGATCTTCCTCAAGAAACACTGATTTCCCCGAGTCATTAAACCTTCATAAAGACATACAATGTATATCTAGAAATCCAATCTACCCCCTTTTATCTTCCTTTTTAAATAAACTGAAAAAAATGAGATGAAGGCTTCTTTCACAAAAGTCATTTTGGATGAAATACAATCATGAAACCTTCTAGTTATTCATTCAAGGGGTTACTCACCACACCACTGGAGTTGTGCACACCGTTCAGATTAATCTTGGTCACAAATCTGACAAAGGGAGGTGTCTCGGGGTATCTGGGCCCACATTCCACTTTTAGGCTGTACATCCTGTTCTCGTAGATTGTCTGCAATGACATGCAAGGCGTATGGGTTTGGGGGGTTCAAATGTCCCTCTCTTTCCTCAAGGCAGCTAAACTCAGGTGCCTGATGGTTATGGGAACATCTGGGACTTTCAAATCAATGTCTGAGTGTCATACAGACAAGCGACAGGGCATGATATTAGCTCGGGTTCCTGACTCATGGCCGAAAGATTGGGAAAAGCTAATCCCAGTCGATGAGTGCTCCAATATGGGTTTTAAGCCTCTTCAGATAAAGTGGCATCCAAATTAATAGTAAGAACCACTTTGTACAGACATGAAGGGATCCTGTTTAGTGAGGAAATTCTGAACTGGATCGCAAAAGAAAGGATCCACAGGATGTGGTAACAGATCCTGCCCTTGACTGGTAGTGTGGTAAGACAAATCTGAACATAAACTCTCCCTATCGAGGAGCCTAGATGGTTCCTGGAACACACCAATGTCCTTTAATCTTTCCACCGTAATGCAGGTCCCTAAAAACGCTCACCTAGGTCCCTGCTTTCCCCATTAGTAATTGAGGAAAACCCACACCCTGCCGAAGCCTGTCAGCTATTTTTACCCCAGTCTAGTTTTCTTTAAGATATGTGTGAAATCTCACCCTGACTCACTCTGGAAACAAATCGTGAGGGTCTAACCGGACACTTCCCTGTTCTTCCGTATGGCTTTTATAGGAAAGGCTGTGCACAGGTGGAGCTAGTTGGAGGTGGAGCTACATTTCTCTTCGCCTCCGCCCTGTGGCTCTGTCCTCTTTACACTTCCTAAACCTGAACGCAGGCTATGTCCTTGTGAGAGGAGGAAGCTGAAATGAAGACGTCTGTGGGAGTGACACAAGTGCGATGAGCTAGAGTGATCTGTGGAGCGGACACCTTCACCCAGGAGTTAACTGAAAAGGGTGGATGATAATGAGATATATATATGGAAGAAGAGGATGCTGAATGTGACCTGTGGTCACTCCAAAGCCCATGGCGGCCTGTAGCAGATCTACAGTCCTCCTCACCCTGGGCGGCCCGATGATCATCCCCCTCCAGCGCGTCAGGGTCATGTCTTCGTCGTCCTCCAGCCCCCAGCTCACTGTCCCATCCCCCACGCCCTTCTGCCCTTCCTCCAACTCCTCCAGCAGCCGGAAGTTACGAGGAACCTTCACGCCTGTAGACAGAGAAGAGACTTTGCTGCAGAATCACACCAGAGCACAGACCCTCCCAGCCCTACAGCACAGGAGTCCTCAGGCCAGAGGTGTCCAGCCTTTTCCCCCAGTCTGAGGTGTTCCAGTATGAATAATCCAGATCAAGTACGGAGCTGCGTCAGTATGCGTAGACTGCAATGGAACAAGTAAAGGTTTATTCCATGCTGAAAAGAGAAGACACAACATTTCGGCTGTGGAGCCTTCTTCAGATGTTTCTCATCTTCTCTTTTCAGCATGGAATTAACCTTAAAGTGTTCCTTTGAATAATATATTTGCGGGACTCACCCCTCCTACAATTAACAAACATTAGGCTGTATCCAAACCACACCTAGAAGCACAATTTATGCAAAACTTTGTTTGTTTTGGAAAAGAGATTAGGATAGTAGGTAGTAGGATTAGGAAGTCATGTCACGTGCTTGCTCGGTTATTCTTGAAAAGCAACTGCACAGGAAATTGTTAGGTTAACAGCAATCAGAATATCAGGTAAGTTTCAGATTTCATTTTAGTCATGTGATTTTTCCAGATTTCTAAGACTTGCAGGAATTCACATGGATGGTAACCATGTATGCCTGGTTTTTAGAAAATGCACATCCACAACAAAGCCTGGAGAGAGCCCAGGTAATCCCAGTTTACTATATTGCAAGGCAACCAGTACAAGCCTATGATGCAGTACGTAGTGTAGGAGGCTGAAAGTGAAGGATGTGACATGTTTCACTATGATACACCGCTGTGCAAGGGAGCACTGCGGTCAGGAACCACTGCCTTAAGCACAAGCTAGTGTCGTCATAAGTAAGCCATGACTCTCAATGCGATATCTTATCAGACTCAACACTGAGTGAAGATCCTGAACTCAGATTTGCCCAAAATGGTCTTGCCTCGGCTAAAACTCAAATTGTATGCTCTGACTCACTGCTAAATGAAGCTGTACAACCCTCAGCACTTAGCCTGGGCTCGTGTTGAGGGTCCTTTTGTTTTGAGTTTGAGTGCTGTCTGTGTGGAGTTTGTATGTTCTCCTTTGGTTTGCTTGGGTTTGCTACGGGTGCTCCAATTTACTCCCACAGTCCAAAGACTGTAGGAAAAACTGTAGGTTAATAAGCTTCTGGGAACACTGGTCCTGGTGTGAGCGTGTGGTGTCTGTATCTGTGTCTGTGTCTGTGTGCACTGTGATGGACTGGTGTCCCGTCCAGGAAGCACCCTGGTTGCTTGCCGAGACAGGCTCCAGCTTCCCCATGTCCTTGAATTAGATGAAGGAGTTTGAACCCAGATAGATGTGTTATGGGGTACAATTCCAAGGCGATTAAGGATACATACAATCAGGTAATTCAAGTGACAAGTGATTTACACCTGCTATTTCTAATCTTCCATCCACACTGAAAATGTGCCTGACACAACACACTGAGCACAGCTGCCTGACACAACATCCTACTGACAGTAAGAAACATCACTCTGCAGCATTGCACAAGTGGACTGACAAACCCAGCAGGAGTGTGACAGACTGTAAGTGCCATATTTCCATTCTTACAGAAAATATATGTGTGGATGAAATATTTAAAAAGTCTAATTTACAAAGGGGTAATATGGATATGCCACTGAGAAAACATCGAGATGCTGCAGAGAAACAAACAAGGGTAAATGAGATTTAAGTGGTTTTGCTTTTTTACACATGAATAGTTCAAATCGCCAGGTCTACAGCACTTTCCGTACGAGTTGGTGGCATCATCTATACCTGCAGAACATCAATGGTCGATTTCGATTCTACGACATTCTCCTAAAACAGGACTTCATTTCATGCTGTTGTATACATTCATATGTGTATTTTACAGGAAACAGGTTTAGCCCTGCCGGCGACATAGCGAACTGGAATAAGCTGATCTTTGCTTTGTTTTTTAAATACTTGATTAAACACACAGATAACATCCGGCACTTATCTTGCCAAATGCGAAGAGACAGCTACCATTTTATGCTGTGTCAACCAGCTAAACCTGTTATGGGTCTCCGTAACTCTCGTTTTAAACCATGTTTGAGAATGACACGCCTCGGAGCACTTACAGGTTGATAACTAAATTTCTGTTAGGTTACATTTTCCAGTATTTTTTACGTATCCCACGTATCTGTTGAATGATGTTGCAGTTTTCAGCTGCTACTGCAGACACAGCGTTTCATTAAAAAAGCTCGATCGCCAGTCTGCTTCCACATTGCTGGCCGGCTCCGCTAAATGATGGAGATATGCTCATTAGTTTGTTTGTTTTTTCCAGTATCACCTTTATTATTAACATACAAACTGGAGATAAAGGCACCCGACATTCTCAACGCGCCTTTTCCTCTTTGATCGAACACCTTAGGTCGCGTTTCAAAATGTATTTATCTGATAGCAAGACTAACTTACCCGATCCGGCGGCCGCCGCCATATTGTCGTTGCCTGTCGGGAACGCGCACGCTGCCATGCGCCGGTGGCCGGGAAAATTCATCGCTTGTGCACGCGCGAAGGCTCGGTGAACGCGCACAGGATGCAGAAGACGCCGCCGCCGCAAAGCGCCGCATTATCCGTGTAGCAGGTGGATTCTAGACGCGGCGATGAACTGCTGGACTTCAGCTTCTCGTTTAAAAGCGCCGAGAGGACATGTGTTAAATCAGTGTAGCGTAGAAACCAGAGACCCGCAATGAAGCAGAAATCTAAAACAAGTGCCGTGTTAATGTGCATTACTTTGCTGCGTCTGCTTCTTTTTACTAAAAGAGGAAGTTCCCTTACAGGAAACAAAATAAATAATGCATGTGTCTGATATGCAACAGCATATTGCACGCTTGCAAAAAGTAAGAAAATCCATAAATGCAACACGCTGTTATTAAATTATCAAATTAAGCGGCTTTTCTAACAATGCATGGATGGATATGAAATAAAGATATTGGAAAATTAAGTACATTAAGGGCATCCTCAATAAGTTAAACGATTTTAACACAACAATCGTGAGCATCAAGTTATCAGCAAAAGATAGCGTTACAAATAACGTTTTTAATAGTGGGTGCTGTGTCTGCAGGGCTCGTGATAAGTTTTTTTTAAAAAAAAGCATTACACCGAAAATGAGTTAGCTGTAAACTGCCATAAGCAAACCCAAGGTAAATTCACAGATGGCGTTTGTGAAAAGGGCACAAATACTATTCAATACCCTTAAGAGATGAAGTCTGCTGCTTCTGCAGAACAAGCAGGGTAAAAAAAAAAATCAGTCCAGCAAAACATCCCACTTTTTTGATGAACTTGCCTAGAACTTTTTTGCCCAACGCAGACAGAAGTGACGCTTCTGAGAACAAGACTACCTAATGTAATGTAATGTAATGTTGCTTTATTAGCCCTATACAATTTCTTGCATTAGGAATTCGTCTTTACGCACCTGAACACCTTGCTGGTGTCGTCAGCTCGCCGAAACTGTGCCAGGCGGCGCCTGTACCAGTCTGGGATGGGACGCCTCCAAGACGAAGCAGATCGCACACTTCCCTGTGGACCAGTATTCCCAAACCGTCGTCGCTGGAGGTGCCGTCTTTCAACTGAAGCGTTGGGCCAAGGTCCTGATGACTCAGTCAGAAAAGATCCATAGAAGAGCTTTGTCAAGGGTAGTGGTGTTAACGCTAATATTTTGGCTCACGTTCTACTTTGTGTTTGTAACATCCGGATCGTCCCCCTTACTGTACTGGAATTGCTCATTTCTCACAGCTCCAGCTCATCTGCTGTGTCCTGGGCTCTCTGGCACACAATGGCCGCCTTGGCTCAGCCACGTGAGTGTGGATGAAGTGCGTCCCTCTCCTCCGTGTAAAGGAGGGTTGGGAATCTTCAGTAGGTATTGTCATGCCCTTTCACTTTGCCTGGCCTCTTTAAGTCAGTCAGCCTCGCTCCTGTGGGTAAGGGGCTCCAGAACTGTTAGGCCGGGCCTGATTGCCCCTGCTAGCTGAGAAGAGTTTTAGCTCTAGATCGAAGATTCAAATAGGGGCACAAGGCAAGAGAAAGCCCTTCAGATAGAATGGTCCCAGGTGGCAATTAAAAATCATGATCACGATTAATTTCACCGACACTTATCTAAATCAATGCACATCTCCACCCATTTATATAGCCAAGCAATGCAATCTGAGCAGTGTCTCAGCTGGGATTTTAATTCACAAGCTTCCACTTACAAGTCTCAGCGACTGCTCCAGCATGTTTACTGCGTAAGTAAACATTTTCACCACTGCTTGCCAGGATGACCAGGTTTCCAATAAATTTAGAATTCCATTCTATTCTAGGCTAGGTATACCGTGATAAATATATTTTATAATAAATTGGCAGATATTTTTTTTTCAAATACAGGATGTCAGTAGTCATGCATGCTGCTGTGCAAATATAATTAATGAATGTGCAGCAGAAATTAATATTAATCGGATAAAAATGTTTTGTTAAAAGTGATTCCAAGCAGGTGGTGTTTCACTCTCTCTCTCACACACACACACACAAAAACACAGTTTGCAGGATAAATGTTTTTGTGCAAAAATGTACTGGTCATAAAGACCTCTTTCCAGCTGTAGAAAACAAGCCTTGAACCGGTCATCCTCCAGTGGAGAGAAACAAAAAACAAAGCCAAGTAGTACACAGTTATTTATTTTTTTTTCCATTATAAATATAGTATGTACACTTTTAACATTACACATTTTTTCCTCAAGGGAAGAAAACAGAGGCGTTAAGGCATTAGTTCTCTGATATTTACAAAGGTTAACCACCACAGAGCTACTTCAGACAGATAAAACCACACCATTGAGAATTCTTCCCATGATCCTTGGCAATGCTTTATATTAAATGAGCAACATGGAGTCGTTCCTGCAAAGGCTCATAATGGCTCTAAATTCAAATGACTTCATCCGGAACACAGCAATACATACATGATAAATACCATCTTAACAAATAACTAATGTAGTCCCCTACTCCAAAATTATTCTTAGGAGGAGATTTTAAGAAATGAAAAACTACATCCTCTTGGGCTTTAAAGGATAATAATGAGACTGGATGATTTAATTACTAAGACAAGTTCATGTTGTTCTTTTCAACTGTTATTTTCTAGGTATAGTTGCCAGTGGGAAATAAGCTATTCCACCTATTCCGAAGTACTGTATTAGTCCATCATACTGTCTGCAGAAACAGCCTCCAGGAAAGGGTGGTTGTCTGATATATCAGCTGAAAAATGTCAAGGTCTGCGAGGTAAGAACTCAAACGGGGGGAAAAAGAAATCTCCAACAGAAAGGCTGTGATTTGGCCTGAGGACACAGCTTCTTCCTGTTCCCATCAACCTCGGGCACGTTCTTTACCGACTTTCCAATAATGTCAGCATGACCTCAACACCTGGTCTTGCCACCTGTAAGCAGAATGGCAAAGTACTAGAGGCACATGAAAAACACAACTGATACGCTCCCAAAGTGAAAAGGTTCCCTTCAAGTTCAAACAACTAGTCTGCGGAACCACCAAAGAGTCAGATGATGTCCTTGACTCTTTGAAATACCTACGCATTCTACAGCTATTTCGTTGTGTCCATGGACACATTTTGCATCTCCTACCACTGCCGTCTTTGCAAATACAAAATAATAACCATTATCCTCAGCCATGACCAACAGCTCAGGATGACACAAAAGAAACCGCAAGCTTGTGCCCATCAAGGCACAATAACAGCCACAAGTCTACCGGATTTCCACTGAGAAATCAAGGATGTTGCCCCTTTTCTTCATGGCCTGCACATGTACAGAAACAAGGCGCTCTGGGAGAGAGACTATTACCTTTTTAACTAAACCGCAATGTTCGCCACTTTTGAATTTGAAATCTTTTGCTTTGATATTTTGACTTCCCCCCCCAAACATGAAACATTTTTTGAGAATCCAAATTTCTCAGCTGCACCATCTTAGCAGTAGCTGCTTAACATTATGGGCATCCATTGGCAACTAGCACTGCTCTTAAATATCAACTCCTCATTCAGTCCAGTTCCTCTCTCATGCATTATGCAACTCGCTCATATAATACTAAACATTGTCAAAACTGTGGTCTTGCCAATCAACCACATTGCAAGGGACTGTTTCCAACACAACTACCAGGCACACTCAATCCCAGACAATGTCATTTTCATTTCAATGAGAAGCACCCAAACCATCTTCAACAGAAGATATTATGTGCTTTTCATTCAGAGAAAGAATTCTGAAAAAGAAAGCACTACTGTACGTTACAGCAGGCATAACTTAAAGATAACATTTGCTTTATGCTTTAATGTTAGTTCTACAGTATCACCCGTCTTCTTGTAACCTGTGCCTATTTTGTGTGAGTTCTAGAAACGGCACAGCTGTTAGCAAAAAGGTTTCTACAGAGAAGCCAGGTTAGAGTTGTAAGAATTTTGAGGATTTACGCAGCATACTATTTTAGTGAGAAGTATCTATAACTTCCATTAACTACGCCAGCTCAAACCTGTAAGCTCTGAAGAGAGCTGGCTCCAACTAGATTTAAAAGTGCATTTTAAGTAAATATATCAAATGAAGATAAAGAAATGGTTATCTTGCACTTTGGGTAGCCTGCTAAGCGATCAAAGTCTGCAGTTTTGACAACAGTCACTTTTTTCCTTTTCATTTCTCATTTGCTATCTGACATTCAGATTAATCTTCTTTTTCCTGCAAGATAGAAATACTTAAATATCCCATATGTGATTGAACATCTACTTTTAACCTAAAGACCCTTTCAATTTTGTGTTTCAGGAGGCATTCACACATATGATCCGTGCAAAGTTTTTCTCTAGCTGTGCAACCCAAATAAGAGAGCTAATTAAAAAAAAAAGTATTGAACTAATTTCACATACGTTAATGCATATCTGATATATCACCATCAGCTCTGTTATTCTCCACTGAAGTGTTATTTCCTTTCTTGGATTCCCATGAAACTTCACTTTTGGTTCCCTGCAAGGCAACTTTTATTTTAGATTTTTGCAGTTCTTAGATATGCCCACCAGAAGAAAGAATGCAAATATGTGTTGCCTATGCTAACTTTCTAGTTTTGTTAATAGTGCTTGGATACAGGCTACCAAGTTAAAGACAGTAAGTCCCTTCATTGCAATTGCCAATTTCAGTCCAGTTATGAAAAGTGGAACCTTGTGCTTTTTCTTCTGGGGTGCTTTATCAAAAATGCGGAAAACATGCTCAGCTTGTGTGCTTATAAACTGGACTGGGACCCGAAATTGGTTGCATATACACACAAAGTAAAAAACATGAATCCCTTTCCACTTAACTAGGGCCCTAGCATCAAAGTGCTCAGCTGCTTTGCACTACAAAGTCGCTAAAACAACAATTTCAAGAAAAAAAAAAGTTAACTTTATGCTCTATGTAACCGACTGCCAATTTGTATTTCCGAGTCAGTTTGCTGACTTAAAAACTAAATATCTATATCTCATTAGGTCTCTAGAAGCCTTGTAGCAAGAGGGCACCTGTTCTGTGGAAATCTGAAAGATTTTTAGGGCCGCTGGTAAATGGGGGAACAAATCATAAAAGCCATCAACAAGAGAAGAGTTCTAAACCACAACAGCAGTGGAGATTAGAGAGATTAGCTCTACAAATATTGTTCCATACACAGGTCTTTATCTCCAGAGACATTTATCACATTTATTTATTTAGAAGGTGAGTCTTTTTTTCCCTTGCAGTTTCTTCCTACAGAACCGCGATAAGAAGTTGTGAATATGTCATTTTGGCCAGTTTCTAAATGCCACAGAGATCTAAAAGCTTTCCCTCCGACCTGCCATCAACACATGCTAACCAAACCGACCCTTTGCTTCTCATACAGTACAAAGCAGGAAGAATTCATGTTTTAAGAGCAAACCAAATCTGAGTTTTAGAGAGGTACACTGGCAAAAAAAAAAAATTGTTGTGGTGGTGCTTGAAGATACTGACTGGATATCGGAGAAAAGGGAGTTAAAAAAAAGATGTCCCTTGTCTGGCCCTGTCAGCTTGAAAATGACACATCCAGAGCCATTCTCCACAATGCAAGGCAACTACAGTTGCCAAAACAAACTGGCACATTAACTGAGCGATGAACTAGATAATCGAAAACAGTGCTAAAAGCTCAAAGCAGACTTCCTCTTGAGCTATACCACGCGCTCCCTGGAACACCTACAGCATGTGTCCTATTTTTTCAAGTAATTAGTTTGTTAAAGAACATTAAATTACCATAAACGCAAAGTTCAACAACATGGGCTTGCATAACCTACGTCTCTGTCCACAAACAGGAAGATTAATAAAAGCTGCTCATCTGATAAATATTTTAAGCAAGGTCAGAGCCTTTTTTATCAGGTTCCTCAAAATATGTATGCATCTTTTACCGATTACGTTTGGGTGTTTATGTGCATACTTCTTTCTTTTGCGCTGTTCCTGTAGTTCCTATAAGTATGTGGCCATAAAATAATGAATCAAAAGAAAATATATTAAGAGTTTAATTTGTTCTGTTGGCAAATTCTGTGGAATCAAATGCCCTGTTTCTCTTGGGAGTTTGTTTTTTCATTTTAAATATAAAATACTTAAAATTACATACAATTCATTGTAACAGAAAATATCCATCTATCAGGGAATGGAGAAGGAAGAGGTTTTGGAATAGCATGCTGCTGTTTGGAAATATTCACTAGTTTCCTCATTTAATTTGCTTTTCTATGATGTTAATAGGTTTTTACAGATTTAGGTTGAGCAAACAAAGACTCGAGTCCGAATGACCAGAAAAAATGCAATATCAGAATTGCAAAACTAGCAGTCATGCTGATCTCTTGCTTTTTAAGACAAACTATTTCCTACAGAGACATTCTATTTTTGCTGGTAGCACACTTATAGTATTACCTACTTGACCTATTGTAATGATCTCTCATTGCTTTCAGGCTGTGCAGTCTACCTGCAGAGAGTGACACCCAGCTCCACCTCCCTCTATGACAGCAACAGTGATCCAACCAAACCAGCATCAGTTCACAACTATTGGATGCATCTGGTGCTTCACCCTGCTGTTCTGGCTCCTGGGAAACCATTTTGGGATTAAACTGAAGGTGTCACGCCGAGCCTAAAGAACAGGTTTGCTTAAATCTGTGAAGAAGATCAACAAGAAACACCAAAGTCATTTTTCAAGCTCTTTTTTTTTTTAACAGGGATACCACCCCACCTCACTAAACTAACAGAAATACAGTAATCCAACAGCTAAGTGTAACTAACATAATCAGCAGCACTGCAATGTAACAGATCCTCCATCGGTGCCACCAAGACATTTCTATTATTGGGACAGTCTGGAGTGATATGTTTTTAAAAAAAAAGGCCCGCAGGATTGATTCCAATGACCCTGTCTCTGAGCACAAGAGCCAGCACTGAGAGTAAGAGCAAAGACTGTGGAAAATAAGGCAAAGATCCCGAGTCTGGTGAGAACCATCATAAAGCGCCTTGGGCTGGCTCTTGTGGTTAAAAGGCGACTGCATGTCTTGATTTATAAGGCTGCTCAGAAACAAAAAAAACTGCATACGTGACAGAGAGGTTAGTCCTGGCCCAGGACTTTAAGATCAAAGGGTGAGAAGCCAAAAATGGGGGGGATTCGGGAGGGGGGTGGGTACACCAGTTATATAGCCTCTTTCCCATCCAATGGCTTTTGCATTTTTTCCCTCCTCCTTAACGAAGTGCTTCTTGGCGACTAATTAGGAAGCCATTTTGTTCTTCAAGTATTCGATCCATTTCAAAGTCACAAAAAAAACAAGTTGAGTCTCTCGGTGAGCGAGACTTCATCAGGCCCAGGCTCCACTGGGTTCTGGCACCAGCTGGGGCAGTGGAGTGGGACGAGCAGGAGGAAGAGGGCGAGGGGTTTCGAACGCTGGCCAAGGGGCAGGGGCGTTGGGAGGGAAGATGTGAAGACAGCCCCTACAGAGGCCGCCGAAGGCTCTTCGTTTTTCTTCCATCAGCCGAAAGTAAAAATCTGTGCTGTCAAAAAAGCGCGTACGCAATGCCGCTGCTGTGCGTTAGGCTGAATCTTCCTCTCGGGTGGGGGGGATGGTTGGGAAAATGGCCAGGAGGGGGGGGGAGGAGATGTTAGGGGGTCGCGAGGTAGGGATGGTGCCGACTGGCGGCGTTACTTGGTTTTCTGAGCCCACTTCATGTCGTCAGCCCGCGGCTTCTCTCCGGTCAGCCCCTGGATCAAGTCTTCCAGCGCCCGCCAAAATCCCAGCCTCTCCAGGGGATAATTCAGCCAGCCTGTGGAATTACGTGGAGCAGAGAGGAGAACACGGTGAGAAAGAGAACATTTGCAGGAAACCTCGGAGACTTGTTTCAGGGCATCTGCTTCATCTGTCCATCCATCCATTTTCTCAACACTTCATCTCACACAGGGCCACAAGCCGAAGCCGAAGCCGGAGCCTATCCCGACAAACACCGGGCAAGAGGCAGGGTACACCCTGGGCCGGATACCAGTCCATCGCAGGCCACAGACACACCCTCATACCAGCACCAATTTTCTCAGAAGCCAGTTAACCTACCAGCATGTCTTTCGACTGTGGAAAGAAAACAGAGTACCCGGAGGAAACCCACACAAAAGTGGAGAGAACTTGCAAACTCCGCACAGACAGCATGCTGAACTCAGGGTCCTGAGAGGCGGCAAAGCTAACCACTGCACCAACCGTCCCACTCGAGTTTGATTAAAACGGGCGGGGCGGATTAAAATAAAACAAACATCTTCTTCGCCCCAGGAACACTGGTGCGAGAACCCGTCTAGCTCCAACACAAAACCTGCATCGGATCGCGCCACAGGGGTGCACAGGGTTTTCAATAACAGCCCTGCCGTTTCGGGGCTCTCCCGCCGCCCGGGGGGGGCTGACCTGTGGTGATGCAGAAGTAGGTCTCGTGCGGGGAGACGTGGTGGATGCGGTGGTGCTTGCGGGGCAGGATGACGTGCAGGTCCTGCAGCAGGGTGACCCAGCGCGGCAGGCCGAAGTACGAGTGCGACCACTTGTGGATCTGGTTGGTCATGGTGACGAAGATGGCCAGGGCAAACACGTAGCAGTCCCAGGGGTAGCTGCGGTACAGTTCCGCTGCAGGCACGGGGAATAAACAGAAGACCGCGGAAAATAAAAAAAAGGTTGGTTCCGGCCCGGATTTTCGGTTCGCTTACGTTGCCCCCTTTTGCCTTCCGGCCTTCCTTTTTTGGTTTTTGCTTTTCCGGTTACCAGTTCGTTTTTTTTCTTGTTTTTTTCCATTTTCTTTCTTGGCCCTTTATTCCACGTTCCCATTAGGCTTGGCTTTAATTTTCCGTTTTAGGAGGCGGCCGGGTTTGGAATTTTGGAAGAAACATTGATTTGGCCGGTTGAAGGGCTTGTTTGAATTGCCCAATTGTTGCGGCTTGCTTTGTTCTTTGTTTTCTTTTTATTGTTGTTTTTTTTTTAAGGCTTTTTTTAAGGGCCGGTTGCCAGGGGGCCAATTTTCTTCGTTGAGGCGTTGCTTTCCGTTGGGGTTGAAGGCTTCCTTCGGGCCGTTTTTTCCAATTGACTTGTTAAGGCCCGGGGGGGAAATTTTGGCCGGGCGGCGGGGTTGCCCCCCTTCTTTTTTTGGGGAACCGCCTTGGGTTTTTTATTGCTCGCGGGGGGTTCGGGGCTTCGTTTTTCTTTTTCTTCCGAGGGCCGGCTTTTTTTTGCGTTTTACGTTCCCGTTCGTTTTCTTGGGGCTTTGGGCCCCAACCGGCCTGCGGGTTTTGGGCCCCTGCTGGCCCCACTAACACCTCTTCCAGCAGCAACCTTAGTTTTTCCCAGGAGTCACCCCTCCAGGTACTGGCTAGACTCACACCTACACAGTGGGTTGCCAGTTGTGAGTTGCTGGATGATATGGCTGCTGGCTTAGAAATCCTTGGATCAATGAGCTGAGCCAGAGCTCAGCCGAACGAGTAGGGGTGTTACCCCGGTGTCCTGGCCACATTTCCCATTGGCCTTTACCAATCATGGCCTCCTAATAATCCCTATTTATGAACTGGCTTCATCACTATGTTCTCCTCCCAACCGATAGCTGGTGTGTGTGGTGAGACTACTGGTGCACTATAGCTGCCGTCGCATCATCCAGGTGGGGCTGCACACTGGTGGTGGTCGAGGGGAGACCCCATTACCTGTAAAGCACTTTTGAATGGAGTGTCCAGAACAGCACTATATAAGCGTAACAAATTATTATAGGAATTGGAGGTAGTCCTCGACTTACAAAGTATGCGACTAACGACCACTTGCATTTACGACGGCCGTTCCCTTAATCGTATTACTGTACAGGACTGTATATTATTTTTGTGTGCCGGCTTTTGGTCGTAATGTCTAACATTGATGACATCATCAGCCTGCGCGACACCGTGCTGCCACATGTTATTGTTTTGGTGGTTAGCAAGCAATACAGTGAGTGTTCAGGCCCAGTATGCATTCAGCTGACTACATTAACGGTAAGTGCAAAGCAGCACTTTTTATTCATTTTTCATTATTGATTACTTTTAGTATATTTCATTTTATAATATCTACATTGTATTATTTTACCATGAGTAAACAGTAAAAATTAGTGAATAAAAATAACAAAGCTGTATTACACAATGTAGCATTTATCCATGTTAATTCTTTACGCATGTGTATGGTTCGAGTAGTATCGCGATACACGTGATCGCGATTTTCTAAATGGACTTCCGAAAGCAAGTCGAGGACTAGCTGTAATCTCATCCAGTTGTTTTGTGAACACCGTTACGCGCCTGCTCTGCCCATTCTGAGCTCACAGGGCGCTCACCTGGGGGCAGGGTGACGAACTTGTAGGCCATGTTGGCCAGCGGCACCAGGGTCAGCATGCAGTTGTCACCGTTGGTCTCGATGAAGTCGTGGCGTGTGATGGCGGTGGGGTCGATGTGGTGCTCCCGGAAAGGCCGGATGAAAGCCTGGGGAAATCCCAGCGGGAGAGAGTCAGGAGTCGGGGTGGGGTGGGGGGTCGGACTCGGGAACTGCTGGAGGGTTGCGGACTGTTCAAGTTTTTATTTATAACCAAAGGAATTGCAGAAAAAGCACTGCTTTCAAATATCTCAAGGTGAATCTGGCACTGTTCAATTATTGATCTGTTTCATTTTTCCAAATTGTTTTCAATAACTACCATTGTATTTAGACAAACCAGGAGAGCCCTGCATCTGCTGCCATCCCCATAAGCTCATGTATTACAAAAAGAGAAGCAATTACAATGATTAATTCTGTCATCATATAAAAAATCTACACAGAATTTACCATGATCATAATTTTATACAAGTATCTCTTTTTCTGCTGTACCTACTGCAGAAACGTTTTTTCAACTTTTGTACGGATTCTAAACACAATACAGACCAGAATTACCACAGATGATTCACAGTCAGATGGTCTTCAAGTGCTCAGCTGACATTTCATGTTTTTTTGTTTACAACCACATTGCTCAATAGGTTCTTCCTACCCCCTATCATGTCAGCTTTAGCTGCTCAGATTTGATGTGGTCCAGGCCAGCTTCAAAATAGACAATCCAACTTCAAGCCTCCAGGACACCCATCAGATTTCAACTCCGAAGGAGGCAAGTTTTGAAGGTTTCTGATGCTGGGGGAGAAAATTATTTGACCACAGCATTCACATTGTGCTCCACCTATGAACTTCATTGTACGAACGACGGTGACCATACTGAGCACAAAACTTAACACTTCTATATCAGATGGGCAGTTACAGCAGGAGACATTGTAGCCAGTGTCTCATATTTAAGACACATGGATCATTTTCAGAGTCGAAGCTTCCCCACCTTTCCAAATATCGGCAAGTCCACAGACCCCCAGGTGTCGGCCCCCCAGTGCACCAGACCAGAGGCAAAGTCAGCTGTCAGAATTCCTGCAACTGAACCAAACAAACCAGGTCAACAGGTTGAAGTGATGCTCCTTCATTCACAAGTAATGAGAGTGACCTGCACGGATCACAGGTTCCTGAGCCCACAGATACTCTCCTTTGTCGGCTGCAAAACAAGTCAGACTGCTGTTACCCTCCCAAGATAAACTGGCTAAGACTGGGTAAAAACTGGGTAAAAACGCACTTTAACCAGAGAAACTGTGACTTTCCAGAGTCTGAACTCATCAGTAACTGTGCCATCTATAAATACTGTCCCGTACTTAAGTTTTATTTCTTTTAATCTCTTAGTCTTAATTCTCCATCCATAAATACACTCTTTTGTTCAATAATGCATTTAGTGAACCTTTTGCTTAAAACTGATTTCTGCACTCCAAAGGCCTATACTGGAAGAACTATAATGGAGAAAAGAAAGAAAATAATAATTTAATGGAAAAGCAAACAACCAAACAACACGAGCACAGACTTCCAAGCAACACTTCACGAATGACTGTACTCAGCCCTCTCAAAGTAAAAGATTAATGGAAACGTCTGCCACTGTAAACCACCAGCAAAGTCTGGTCAACATTCTTCTAGATTAGCCTACAATCTGTTGACCTCTGTTTAAAAAGAGCTATAAAACACTATATGAACCAAATTTTCCTAGGACTTAAAATCTCCCACTTAGAAAATAAGAAAGCAAATGTCACTCAGTTACTTGAGGTAACTAACTATAATAAGGAACAAGTAATAGGTTTATTCCATGCTGAAAAAAAGAAGAGAGAAAACACAACGTTTCGGCCGTGGAGCCTTCTTCAGGTGTAACTATAATAAATTCTATAAACAACATTTATAAATATTGCAAATAAAGTCAAACTGGGAAGTTGTGCAAAGCGAGTCGCGCCGCTGTGTTTATGTCTTAGAAAGGCGTTTTGGCGTGTAGTGGTCTTCTTTGAACCAGCTGTGAATGCAGCCGTCTTCGGGGAAGGTGGGCAAACCTGTTAGCCGGGAATCGTACCGACGCCCTGCTCATCTCAAGTGTCTGCCCATTCGCACCCGCAGGCGAGCCGTGCTTCTCGTTTGTCTGTGTGCACGCGACGAGCGCCCCCCGGGGGGACCCGATCCTGCTGCCGCGAGGCCGTCGAGCGCCGATGGCACCCCCCACTCCCTCACGCCGCGGCGGAGACCGCCAGCGTCCGCACGCAGAGAGCCGGCGGCAGCGCCGAATGTTGGTCCTACCTATTCCCAGCAGGATGAGAGAGGTGTGCCCCAGGTGGAAGTTGGCAAGGAGGTGGCAGAAATTGAAGGCCATGAGAGAGAAGCAGAGGACGACGCTGATCCACTCCTGACACCGCTTGCCTGGAAGGGAGGCAGAAGAGGCAGTCAACCAGCTTTTCCTGTCAGGGGAGGGAGTTTCCACACACAAACCGGTTTCCAAACAGCCCTCAGTTAAATTGGAAACACGGGAGACTGGTGTCCATGGCGTACTCTACACAACAGAACGATGGGAACCAGCAGACAGATTCTGCGCTTAGGCTCCAGAGTACCAGCAGGAACTTACAGCCGATTCTCCGAGTTGATTTTTTTCATTCGCTCTAGTAATACGATGCCCTGAGGTGGGGCAGAACCTGCTGTGGCATCAGAAGGAGTCGTGGTGTGAAATTAATCCCATTTTGTTCAAATACACCATTGACCTGTGAAGCACAATGTGAAAGAAAAACTGCAAGCTACTGGAGACTATATAGCGTATCTATCACTGTTTTTGATATTTTTAAGTTTTGTAAAATGAGGTCAGAGACATGGATAATCACATTTTCGATCTTGTTACACCAGTTTAGAGCCCAGACTTCCTCTTTATATTCAATCTGTTTTCCAGGCACTTTTACTACAATGACCAATAGGGAAAAGTTTTCTTAAATTATCATTTTCAAAAAGGACTTCTAATATGGTCAATGTTTTGCTTTTGTTCTTTAATCCATTGTTTTATGGAAGGTATTATGACACATCTGGAAATTATTCTATAGTACAGTATATACTATAGTATATTATAATAATGATGGGGTGAATATTTATGATTTCAATACATTTTCTGTTTTTTACTTTTAATTTTGTCAAATGTCTGGATTTTTTCCCCCACTTTGACATTATAGAGGACTTTGTGTCGATGAGTGGAAACAATTCTCAGTTAAATACATCATGGTTCCATGCTGTAACACAATAAATTGTGAAAAAGTCCAGGGACAGGGGGGTGAATACTTTTGCAAGGCACTGTACATAATCTGAATGTTTTAGGAAACATTATTCCATCATTAATCTTAAGAAGTTGGCAATCTTCCATAGGGATGTCATAACCTGGCTTAAAACTTATCAACACTGATGATCTCCCAAATCCGCAACAGTTTATTGGTGATACTTCTATTAACATGTACAATCTGATACTCTTTAAATCATTTTCTAAAGTAATTGCTGTCCAATTCAAAGCAATCCCCTCTTTTACAGGTCCTTTAGTCAAACAAGCAAGTCTAACTTTTATCATCATCTTCATCACCAGGCTTTAAAGCAAAATCCTTAAACATTCTAGACGTTTATGTTTACATTAAAGTTTTGACCATTCCTGTCACACCAGTCTAATAGTCTCTAAGGTTAGTACAGGGTTAATTTATGCTCAGTAATTTAACTTCAAATTGCCTGGATGCAGTCCGCCGAAGAATAATGTATTTTAAGAGTTCCTATGGGGAAAAAACACAAATCTTTAGATTATTTAATGTGGGCACATCTGCTTATCACGTCTATATACTTGGCAGTGGCTCCACGGGTAATGAAGAAAAAAAATAACTTTCTCAAAAGAATTCAAATAATTGTAGGCAACCTGGAAAAAAAATGAATCTGCATAAAAGGACAAAGAAACTCATTCTCTCTGGAAAACGTACTGCAATAGTGCATTCCTTGGTCTACAGTAAATGACAGTACCACAGGCATCAAGACATTTTCAGTAAGACCTGCTTCACTACACCAATGTGGGCTCGAACCCAGGGGTCTATATTATCTTGAACTGCTGTTCTGTTTTGAGAAGGGCTTGCCAACTGAGACATAGCA